ATTGAATATTGGCATCTTTTATAGCAACTAAATAAGAATTCAAAATTATATAAGCATAATTTGCTCACGGTTCGAATTAGTTCATTCTTGATGAATTCGGAATGATATAGTATTTCAAACCTGATCGCATACATCAAGACATTGAGAAAATTGATGAACGAAGAATACCTGACTATGGGGTATGGCCCTACTCACCCGTCTATATGACGTTTCAGAATTATTATCAGAGTTCAATACCTCTGATAATAATTGATTTTCAAAGCCAATGACATCATCTACACAAAACGGCTTGAGTTTTTGTGAATTTATCTTAAATATATGCATATTGAGAAAAAGACTGAAGCCCGGGATCAACTTGGCATTAATTGAACTTCAATAAATTTTCCAGATCTTTTAAAAGAGGATTAAGTGACGGATAGTAGATCTAACTGCTATTAACTATTAGTGGTGTTCACACCTACACTTTTCACAGTTTTAATATCTTAACGAAGAAAACTTGCCTAGGAGTGCGATTAAAACTGTTGTTGGAATAAAATGTGTTTCGTTTATCAAACAAGCGCTATGAAACGCGAGGCTGTATTTAAAATTCTCTAAGATTTTACAATTTGTTAGCATCTGCATTTGGGATTTTATTATTTCATACACAAACCAAATATGTATTATGTTTGAACAACGAAAATGTGTCTCAAAAATGTGAACATGTTTCATGCATCGGTTAAAACAGCACTCAACTACTATTATTAGACTATATTATATCAAGTTTTTTGTATAATTCAGAGAATTCTTGTTCTTTAGATTTGGTTTTTCATAGTTTCAAGGTTTAGGCCGACTAGTAATGTCATCAAATTAGAATTGCCAGTGGATATGTTTGTAAGGATATGTAGTTCCTTCTTGTGTTTTTGTGAAGATATGTGCGTCATCTATTTTACTATATTTTATTTTTTTTTTCAAAAGTTTCATGAATTATACTATATTCGTAAATGCTATTTTAATGCAGAATACTACATTTAGTATCATAAACATGCTTTATTGGAGTATTCTATTAAGCAGCTAAATAAGATTTTGCATTTATTGTTGTCTAATAAAGCTACTGCGAGAACATAGAGAAAGTGTCACTATCGGCTCACTAACAACTGACTTATCCTTAACCCAGTTCACTATCGTTACGTATCTTAAAGTTAAATAAATCCGAACAACCTACGACACAAATTAATTCGAGCTTTTTTGATCAAAAACTAAATGTTGGTCGTAGACTCTTTGGCAATTTGGTATTTGTCGCTTTAAGGAACATTATCTATTTAATAACTAATTCATACAACTTAGACTGCCATTGTTTGGAGCAAACATGTTGTATACATTTATTATATGCTAATTGTTAGTTCACCCCACATCGTTAAAACAGTTGTTTGCAGACCCAGTTACCTACACCACCATGCAAAGTATTACTTGCCTTCTTTCAAGGGTGTAACACATTCAAAGTTGGGTGTTGCTGTGCTCAGCTCCGTTCAAAAACTCGAATTGAAATGATGGGTGTAAAATTGAAACTTAGAACTATGCCAGATATCGGCACAGAAATCAGATGATCTTTGTTGATGAAAGGATCAATCGTATTCTTTCTTTTATGTCTTAATTTCAGTGGTATTTGGGAGTTTATTTTTCCACCTTTCTTCCCGTTCTGTTTTTATATACATTTGTTATCTTTGTACTTGATTTTTCTTTTTGATGACAATAGTGTTGCATTTTATTTTGGCGGCGTTGATTTAGACATAAGACCCGTTTTTTTTTTAATTCTTTAGGAGACTAATTTCTACTGCGTATCTGGTTCATATTATTTTGTCGTCCATTAGCCTTTTTCACTCTACTGTCGATGTCCTTTGGCGTGCCACCATCGTTGTTGACTATACTCCCCAGGTATTCGAGTTCCTGCACGTGTTCAATGTTATAATCGTACAGAAGGATGGGCGATTGATTGCTTGCTTTCGTTCTCATTGTTTTTGTCTTTGAGTTTGCTAACAATACTACATCGTCTGCATATTCAAAATGACCATGCTTTTGATTCAGCTTCCAAGCGATGCCGATTAGGTTTTCTTCTACAGCTTCGAGAACAAAGTCTAGGACTGTGATAAACAGTAACGGTGAGAGGTCGCAGCCCTGTATACTCCATTGTTGCAATTAAAGCTGTTGCTAAGAGTACCCTCATGTAAATCTCTACTCGTGGCCCCTTCGTAGCTCTTTCTGGGAATGTTAACGATCTTATTAGGAATACCTTTAGGGTTTAACGCTAACTTCTCTTAAGCGCGTCGAACGCCTTTTCAAAATCAATAAATGTTAGATACAAGGTTGTATTTCATTCTTAGGCTTGTTCAATAAGTATACTAATGGTGTTAATTTGGTTGATGCACGAGTGCCCTAGGCGGAAAACTGCTTGAGTTTTACAAATAAGTTCGTTTAATGTTACGGCGATTCTTTCTAAAATTATTTTGTTAAAAATTTGGAAAACTGCTGGTATTAAAGAAATACCAATTGCTGCATTTCTTTCTGTCACTTTTTTTCGGCAGTTTGACGATGATAGACTCCTTCCATTCGAGAGGGAATGACTCTTATTCCCAGATTTTCTCAAACAAGGGGAGCAAAAGTTTCGACATAACGTTGGGGTCTACATTAAAACACTCAATCGGTAAACAATCATTACCAGGTGCTTTACCACTTTGATATCTAATAATTACACGTCTTATTTCGTTTTCGCTAGGTGCTCTTGTATCTATTTGTCTATTAGGATTCAGATGTCTTCGTATTGTGAGCTTGTCACTTTCGTTGTGTATGATATTCAGGGTTTTCTCAAAATGTCATTTCCATACCTCTGCCTGCTCGTTCTTAGCAAACAGCAGTTGTCCATTTTCGTTTTCAATTGGATTGCGGCTTTGGAAAGATTTTCCACCTAGTTGTGTAGTTAACTTAAACAGCTCCTTCATGTCGCCCTTTTCTGATGCTACTTGCGCTTTCTTGCTTAGTTTCACATAATAGTTCCTCTAGTCGCTTTTGACTGTTTCCTTAATCTGCCTACTAATACTTCTGTACGTTGTGGTGTATTCGGCTTTTTTAAGCGGGTCCACCTTGCTTAAATTTTCGTTTTAACGCTCCTTCTTTGTGCGATGAGCTCCCATAAGCTTGCCGACAACCATTTCTTTTGCTCGTTTTTAATATGAAACTACGTTTCCTCAATAGACGCATGTTCCACCACACTGACGTTATTAATACGTACGATCATTTCGTTCTTTACCGTTCCAGCATTAAGCTTTGTGGTGTTACACGTGCGCCGTGTTTGCTGCGGGTGTTCATAACTATGTTTAGGTATATTAAATTTCAGTTCGACCACCACTAAATAGTGGTCACTATCGATATCACCGGTTCTCTTGTTTCTGACATCACATAGAACTTTACTCCATCGTTTTGAAATGCAGATATGATCTATTTGACTTTCGAAGTTGCAGCGGGAGACTTCCAAGTGACCTTGTAACACGTTTTATGAGGAAATATTGATCCTCCAACCCTGAGATCACAATTCATAGAAAGCTCCAAAAATAGCTCCCCATTCTCGTTACATGTTCCAATGCCATGGGAACTCATTACAGTTCGATATTCTGAGTTATTTCCGCCAGGAATGGGGAATGATATCGTAAAAATAGTGTTTTATTTTTAGTTTGCTTTTTGCTCCATATAAAAAGAAATTTATAGTTTTTATCGATTTGCTTTAGTATTAGGTGTAGTAAGAAATCTACTATTTTTTCAATAGATAGCTTTAGTTATCTGTATCCCGCGATGTATAAGTTCGATCGGTTTATTCTAAATGGCATTAGAAATATGAGATTTCGTTCTAAAACAACTTTAACAATTTAGTAATTGGTTGGCTCAGTTTTTTTTTTTTGTTTGGGCGAGTATCAATAATGGACACTAGCAAAAAGAAAACACACAGTTTATCGTTGATAAAGGCGAAAAAGCAAGCCAGGCTGCTGAAAATGTAAATAGTGTTTATGGTCTTGATATTATAACAGCTGATCATGCACAATTTTTGGTTCGTCGATTCAGTTCCGATGAATACGATGGCACCACGTAATGGCATGTCATTTGTCGAAAATGTCGATAAAATCATGGAAATTGTACGACCGATCCGATCCGATCCGATCGACATGTAAGCACTGATTTTTCTGGTGAAAAATATGCTTCAAGAGTGGCTTGTAAAAATCGACTGCCAAAACTTTTTGCTAATAGGGACGACGACTTCTATAAGAGAGGTATGATGAAATTACCTTCAAAATGGCAACAAGTTATCGAACACAACGGGGCACATTTGACCTAAATAGGATCATTCTAACTATGGTAAATAAGTCCTCAATTTCATGCAAATATAATGGCTTTCTTTTTACTACATCCGTTTCTAAAAATTATTGTAGTTGCATAGATTACGTCAAAATTCGACTGAATCTTCCTTGAGTGTGTCATTTTCCAAATGCAAAGCAAAATCTATGGAACACAGTCGATAAAGTAGCATCTCATATTGTAATTAGACCGATTTTGTGTTGCAGTTGATGCCAAAATAATCTTTCTGTTTCAGTTTTGCTATGAATAATATTTATATTTCAAGGTTCAATATCGCTTTTCGCTAGACCAGCTTTTTTTCATTTTGAAAATGTGTTTAATTTTTTTGAAGTCGTACTTAATCAATATATGGTACATTTTTTTCCCATTATATATATTTACCAAAACTTACACTTGCTAAACAATTGACCACATTGAATACAAAATAAGGATTTACGAGCAAAATAAAAATATTTTAAACATATTTTCAAATTTACTTGATGCAATAATGACGAACTTATTTTGAACTACCATATATTCCACATAGTTCGGCCACAAAGAATTTCTAATGTTGTAAATAAAGAATATTTAATATTGTTGTCAATAATTGATATTTCTAACTAAGTTCTCTTTTGCATTTTCAGATAAAACATGTTGGCCTGTAAATACTGCAAATAAATGGTTTGGTAAGTGTACAAATAATTATATAGAAGTGTAGTGCATTTGAGGTCATCAGTTCGTTTTCATAAAAAAACGAGATTGGTGATTTTATACAATTGCTAGATGGATTAAGTTCTGTTTTGATCATCTCTTTTAATTAATGTTGCTTTGCATAGATAGATAAACCTGGAGAAACAAGTTGAGAACTTAACGTAAAGAGAGAGTAAATGTAATTCATTGTTTTTAGGAAGCGTAACAAGCCTTCACCCATGTATTATAAGGACATATAAGGGCCATGTTATGTAGAGTGTCATGGGCTCGTCATAAGAAAAATTGTTGTTGTTTTCAATACAAATTATAAAATTGAGAGTGAGAGAAAAAACAATATGTTAGTTCAAATGCGGTTCTGAAAACCGAAGCATATTCGTTAAATCCCAAAAGAGACGATTTTGACAAGTTCGTCTTTTTGACACTTTACATAACATAGCTCTAAGAGGCGGTTAATTCTACGTTACAATTACGTCCAATTTTTTTGTAAAAAGTAAGATAAAAAATATAAAGTAATTATATTTTTGCTTTGTTTGTTTTTTAAAATTTTATTTTGTCTCTCGTTAATAATTTGGAGTGCATCTCATCGCACTTTACTTATCTGTAAGAAGAAGAGCGATTACGCAGCTTATTTTGGTGTCACATAGACTTATTAGTTCTTCTTATTATTTTCTACCCTCAACGAATAGCGTTTTAATCTAGTTTTAATTACACTTTTATTACTATTCACATGTGTATAGAGCAGAAGTTCACAGAAGTACCTCAATAATACTTGGGAGTGATCTGAGGTAAGTAAGTAAACCGCTTCCACTGTTATTAGATTCTAATCACATTATTTGGTTACAACCCTCTCATTTTGTTCATATTTCATGGTCAAAACGTTCAAACAGCAGAACTAAGAATTTTTTTTCGGCTTCACAAAGGCATTTTCCTTTTGCATTTGTTAATATCGAACCCAATATATTCTTTCTGCAGCAATGAAACTTTTGCACTTATTAATAATGACCTACATATATCCATCAACTTCAACAACTGATGCCTGTTGTTTGTTCTTCTCGATTCACCTCTGTGCTACCATTGCGTTTATTATACAGATGTTTAGTGTTATATATATATGTTGTAACCACGAATAGGAATATAACTTATTTTAGCGCGATAAGTCTCCATACTGAAAGTATATTTATGTTGTGTAACAAGTGAAATAGTAATTTTATTTTTAATTTTTGAATTGCTAAGTTGAAAATATTTAAAAGCCTAAGTTTGAAAGTTTTATTTTTCAAGAATTTTTGGCTTATATTTCGATCGTTACTTTCCTTAATAGATATAGGATATATTCCTAATATTGGAAATTCTCCGGATGAAGGCAAAAGCGAATTCGCCGAAATACATATAGAAATATACTAAAAATAACGATCGAAATAAAAGCTAAAAATTCTTAAAAACAGAACTGACTTTAAGTGAAATAGTATTATTTTGAGAGGTCACATATACTCGAAGTAAATATATTTATAGTACTATAATTGAACATGTCACTTTTATTACGAATGTGTCCAGAAGATGCATTATATTTAACAGCTGTAGTAATAGTTGTTACTTAATACATATTTTTGAGTTAGGTCATTTAGATCGCAACCTGACGGAATATCTATTATATTTCTATTCATGCCAAATGAGTATAGGATCAGTAGAATAGTAATAAGTAGAATTCAAGATAGTGCTTCTAAGTTCGAGTAACTTTTGCTCTTCTAAATAGTGACATATAAAAGTAATGAAAAGAGCACGAATTGTATTTTGTTGCTGAACTAAATACTTTAAATATCTATAAATGAATATTTGTTTATATTTATGTTAAATTTATATTGTGATTAGTTATGAATTAAACATAACTTAGCTAAACCATTACTTTTTTCTAACATTGTTCATTTTACATTACTATATTACTATAAATGACAAGCCAATAAAAATTTTTGGTTTTCTTAAAGCAATAAATTCCCACTTGAAATAATGTATAGTTACAGGATGTTTTAGTAGTTTTTTCCTTTTTTTTTTTTTTAAAGTTAATTAAATACTATAAATGGCAAACACTTGACATACAAAAACGCAATGACAGTAAATATACATACATGTGAAATATGTATCGTTTTTAAAATTCAATAATTCTCAGATTTAACTTCTATAATTTTTATATTACAAATCACATTGGCATAATATTTAATATTGAATGTTTTTACGAAATATTAGTTATTTATTATGTATATATATACCTTACATATATACATATATATATTCCTTACTTATGTCATATAATGAAATTGATTGATTGATATTGTGTTGCAATTGTAAACGAATACTCTCCTTATTTTACACATCAAAATAACATTTAAAAAATCTTTCAGTATTATTTTCGTATTATTTTCTAAGTAAAGTCAAAGACTAAGAAAAATATAAAGTCATAGGGGACACTGGCGTTAAAACATTTGAGAAAGCACTCCTTCATAGGTTTTACATGCACTTAAAAATATTTTAGGGTAATTTTAAAAGTTTAACAGTACAAACACCATTGTGGTCGTCAATGTATTTCAACCTTAAGGTCCAGTACAAACTTGCGGTAAAAAAACGTTGCATACAGCCACACTACCGCTTGGATCGTTGTGAGATACATTAGATCATATTGTATAGTATACACTAAGCAGCACCGTTGCGGGATGCATGCGACGGTAAGCAAAGTGTGTTTTGCACCGCAAGTAGCAAAATTGCGAGAAACTAACCGCTTATTTAATTAACTTTTTGTAATTTATTTTAGGAATAAATCAGTGAAACAAGTTTATATATTACTCGTTGTAATGAACCTTTACATGATCGGTCATACCACTGTGCGTATGCTAATGCGAAAATATAACATTGCAAAAGTTCAATACAATTAAATTGAGATAGTGACTCTTTATAGCAATGCAGAAAATCAATTACTACAATAGTTATATTTATTAAAAAGTAAGATAAAAAATATAAAGTAATTAATACCGTAGAGTAATAAAAACATAATTTAAACACATACTTATAAAAAGGGACAGCTGCCAGACAAAGATAAAACAGTAATAACATACGTTCCGTCTCGCTTTAAACGAAAGAAGTCAGTAAGCTCCCCGGTCCAATATATACAAGGAACGGTAGTAGCGAACCAAAATTCCTTTATAAACACAACAGTAACATATCAACTCTTCACCCTGCTCCATAACACAGTAAAAAAATCGCTACAAAACAATGGCATAACATAACATCCTACACTATCCTGATAAATCCCACAAGCACGCACCAAGTTAGATTAGCAGCTACGTCGTACACTGACAAATTACGATTCACGAATTTGTACTCCGGATTCGAATCTAAAATTGTGTCTATTTCAATCTTACATTAAAACTAGTCTTCTTCTCAAAGGTTCACCAACCTAAACAAAAACTTAATCAATACCAATTGTTCAACCTGTAGGTCAAAATTTAATTAATTATATAAAAAAAGAATTATTCCATAAATACGATGATTTTAATTTTTTGTGTTCATTAAGTAACAATATAAAACAATATTTACATGCTTAGTTAAGCCCCAGATAACCGACTCAATATCATGCAATCACCACACAGAAATGTCGTTAGATTTTAACAAAACTTGCGAAAAAATAGGCATTCACACAATGTTAAACAACCAAATATATTCACAATATGATGACCAAAAGGTAAAATATTATAATAGTAGAATAGTAGGATAATAATACTCTTCAATGAATCGAATACAAAATGTAATTCTACAGGGATTCCCACTGTGACATATAGCAAATAAAACAATATCTTAACCTAACATCAACAAATAACGTACATACATTTTGCTGACAATTACTATGTTCTTAAAAAATTCAATAAATCCGACAGTAACAGTTTAACAGGTAACAGTTTAATATCTATATTTGCAGATAAAGACTTCTGGTGAAAATACATAGTTGAATTTTTATCAAAACCAATATACAAACAATTTCATTCGTGTCGCTGCAGCAGTTCCATCACTACTAATAATCCGATCAAACAAGTTGACAACCTCAATATAAGATTGATATACTTATAATATAAGATATAAGTTGATAAGATTGGTTTTCTCATATCAATCACATAATCACATCCATGTCTCAACAAATTAACAAATTTAAATTCCTTTCAAGTCCCAAATTTAATTTCTGTAATTTCTGTAGTTCTGTAGCTTAATATGTCTTATCAAAATACTTCTTATTCCCAAAATCGCCAGATTTTTATTACTTGCATTACACTACTTGGATAACATTACTTGCATTAATTACTTACACCACGTTATTTACATTACATTACATATGTGATGGAGTATATTTTAGTTCGTTTGTTACAATTTTCTAATTTATTTGCATCAATTTTTAAGTGAGTTATCCTTAGTCGTAGTTTTTCAATGTGATGAACGAAAGGGACCTAAATTAGATCTCTTTCTAAATAAGTGCTGTAGTTCAGCACTTCTTTATTTTTATTATTTGCGACCAGTAAAAATCTGCCATATACATTTTTATACTAGTCTTACAGTATGAAAAATGTTTTTAATTTAATTGATCAATTTTTTAATCATTATTTATTCCTTTGTTATATCTCTACAAACGCAAGCATAATAGCTAATGGTAATGTTGACTTCTGGCCTAAGCTAAAGGGTTACGTACTTGTAGGAGAGATATTTCTGTACAGCGTTATTTTATGACACGTTCAAATTATAAAACACATCATCTCATTTTGGTAGTAAATTATACTCATAATATTGAATATTGTCTAAATACATAAAACATTATTGAATAAATATAAAATATTGTGTTAATTTGCGGATAATATCACTTAAGTTATTAGGGAAAGCGAATTTGTTTGTTACGGTATTAAAATTATGACATTCTACAAACACGAAAAAATGTTCAAATATACGA